ACAGTCTCTTCTGACAAGTGACAATCGTGTTCTCACCGTCGAATACGAACCGAAATTCACGAGAGTCGAGATTTTCACTTGGAGCTTGGTCTTTTTTTGCGCCGCTTGGTTCGCGTGCAATCTCGTCGTCGAATCTCGAGAGAGATCGGCCGGCGGACGTTAAACGATCGACTGTCGTGGATTAATCGGTGAACCCAAACTCGTCGGGGGAAACGAAGGAACGTGGGGGAGGGCCGCGGGCTGCATTTGTATGCAAATCCGGTGTTTCCATTATCGTTCGCTGTCAACGATTAGAGGAGAAACGCGGCAACGGCGAGAAAGCACGGCGGAGAGCCACCGTGTCCAACATTGCGTGGTGTGCAACTGCTCGCGTCGAGTGTACGTCGCTTTATATATATATATATATATATATATATCGTCGTCGTTGCAGATATTTGCATTCCGCGAGACGAAAGTAACTTCGATTTCCTCAATTCGAACAACAATCTTCTTAAATTATCGTTTTTTTTCCTTTAATTATCGTGCTAAATGGAGAAGAAGTTAGGTAGAAATTTGCTTTACCTACTGTATAATATCGTGACGAACAAGCGACTTTAGGTACTTCATACAGGCTGGTTCGTTTTAAATATCTTTTTTCAGATAATATTCTTCGCCTAATGTGAATTGTATGGAAAGACTAGTATAATTGGTAAAAAAATTTTTTTTTTTTCTTTTTTTCGAGTTTGCAAGGGCATTGTTGTTTTTCTTTTGTACAACTATGTATTTTTTTTATTGCATCGTGTAACTGGAAAAATGAAAAAAAAGACATCATTTGCCCTTGAGAATTCCGAAAAAAAAACAAATATTTTTAATTCTACCAGAGTTATTGGGCTTAGTTAAGAAACGATATCACTTAAGTGGGCCATTCTGTATACTGTTTTCGTATTTTGTACAGTGTAAAGCTTTGTAAAATTATCCGCAGTCGAAAAAACCCCAGGTCTTTTTTCGAGTAAAACGCTTGTTAATACTTTATATCAAAAAAATACGTAACGTTAGATTGTATTATGTAACGAAATTGCCATGAAAAGCATGAAGTGTTTTTTATATCGTATTGCATAATCTCATTGATAACTTTTCTGTATTTAACGTTTATGTTTGACAAACTGACTCACCGAGGCCCCTCTTGCATAAAATGCAGTTTACCTGAATTTTCCAATGCTTAAAGAGTTTATATTACAATTGATTAAGAATTTATCAATTTTTTGGATAGAATTGTAGAATGGATAAAATTTGGAGAGAGTCATAATTTCATTTGACTCTTGAGCAGACTTCGAATTACTGTTTAATAGAGATAAATTTTCGTTTGCAGCATTGGAACAAGTTAATAGAGAATTACTTAAATTTTCAAACGTAATCGATTATTGGTTAAAATTTGAATACGTATACTTACATATGTACGTATGTATTTCACCTTCCTGTCCCAATTCGCTTGTTCACACTCTTTAAACACGTTCGTTTCATTCACGATCGATTTTACAATCTCGACGTATCGTGGTTCATGTTACAAAGAAAGAAACAGCCTCATTGTCAGAGCCAGCAAGTCTCTCTCTCTCTCTCTCTCTCCTTGTGTATGTCTCAAATTACTGTTTCGGATCTCGAAACATGTAAACTTCGACATCCGATCGATTTTATGTCTCGTCTTTCTCACCGACGATTTAAAGGTCCGCGAACTGTTTTATTTGAAATTCGGTCTGTTCACCGTCTTCAGTCACAATTAGTATACACGACACGACAAAAAAATGATATCGCAATTAGGTGGGAAAATGAGGATACTTTTTTCTCGAAAATTGCGCAAATGCAGACGTCTTTGAAAAATATTGAAAAATGTTTCTCGTAACCAGATCCACCATTATTTTGAAGATTAGAGTTTTCTCTTTACAGAAATTCCTAAAAACTTGTCGTACGATTTTTTTTTTTCCACTATTTGTCTATTGAACGATAAAAATTCGAAAAAAAATCGTGCAGCAAGTTTCGAGGAGTCTTTGCAAAGAGTGGATTTCAATCTTCAAGACCGTGGTGGATCTAGTCGCGAAGAAAATTTTTTATTGCTTCCAGGGACGTTTGAACTTCACCGAAAGATATCTTACTCGCTACGTAAAATCACTTTCGGAAAAAAAAAAAAAAAAAAAAAAAAAAAAAAAAAAAAAAAAAAGGAGAAAAAACAAAACTCACGACTGTCAAAATAGAAGCTTCGCTCTTTAAAAAACGAGACCAAATGCAGGAAGATCATTGCACAACCATTTTTTTTTTTTTTTTTTTATAAAGTTACATCAGTCTAAATCTAAATTGTCGTTGCCACACTCTTATTCACTGTGTGTACAATTACAGACAAAATTGAGTGGAATGGAAATAGATGTGAATTAAATTTAGTCAAAGTAACACTATTATTACGCGCGTAAGTTTTATACATTATATGTCTTTACGGTACATGGATTATTCCAGCGAATGATTGAAATTAACATTTACATTGGTGTTGAAACAAGATATACTTGAAGAAAAAGTTAGCAGGTTGTCGACGGACAAAAACAAGCGGACGTGTAATAAAATATATAAGAAATGTGAAATTAATATTTGGTGAAAAAATTCGGACGTGTAATAAAATATATAAGAAATGTGAAATTAATATTTGGTGAAAAAATTCGGTGTCGCGAGCGTGTTACGTTGAAAAATCTCCGTTTTTCACCGTTCGTTTCGCCAAGAATGTGCCCGTGTACCCTGTCGCTGCGTTTCATCGCGCCTCGAGATTATTCCAGCGAGTCGCAGTGCGCGAGATAACGAGCAGTGCGGCCTGTTGACGTCACTCTCGTTCGCTGACATCAGCTGTGCGCTCGCGAACAGCCTACGTGACGTATTGTCGGTCGGTTTTGCTCGCGTAACCGTTCCCGATATATACACCTCGTGCATCTCGAACAATCTTGGCCTCTCGTTCTTTTTATACAAATCCGCACGCAAATTTACGCGATATCTCGTCATCTCGGTCACTTGTGTTTCTTTGAAATTAAAAAGATTAATTTGAAGAATAACGTTAACTTCTTTAATTTCTTTCCAGTTTACATTGTACAAATCTCTTCGAAATTGAGGAAATTGAAATTCTTTAGAATTTAAAGGACATATCGATGATTGTGTAATACGAAAAGATTCGCGATTCATCGACGATCAAGTTTGACCGCGTTGAGCGAAAATCTTTCTAAGTAATTGTCGTATCCCTTTTATTGCAAAACTGAACGATCGACAGATGAGAGATTCAAGGCTCGAGTTATGCAGCAAATTATCAACCGTAATTAATCGTTCTGTCGGTTATTAATTAATTAATTTTGATTGTGATTGATTGATTGATTAGTATTCTGTCTTAGATCATTAAAGTGTCTCTATTGAGATAATGATGCTTGTAAGAAATATTGTTTGCATACGGTGACTGCGAGATTTTTTACATTTCTTTAAAAAAAAAAAAAAAAATTTGACACGTTGTGCAAAGCAACTGCTACTAAAATTCACTTTTCGAGTAATAAATGTTATATGTTTCTCGAGTTCTGGGCATCAGGATTTTTACAGATGCTTAGGCTAACAAAAAAAGAGAGGTACTATACTACTTTAGATGTAGTTAATAAATTTCGATATACTTAAAAGTTTAGATCTAAATATATACTTGCATAAACAAACAAACAGCTACAATTAAACGCAATAAAATTTGCGGAATAACAACGAGGGGAAAATGAAACGAGGAAAACACGCGAGTTAGAATCGATTACTCAAAATATGCTGAATATAAAATATTTCTCATTTTTCACAAAAGAGACGAGTTTTTCAAGTTTGAGGTAACATCGAATCATTTATTTATCCATTTTCGTTTTCATTTATTAGACAAATATTTGATAAATTAGATAAATGAATAACCTTCAGTTGGTCGTATTTTATGTAATATTCGTTTATTTGAGTTCGCGTTCTTGGATAACGAACCAGCCAGCATCCTCCATTGTGTCGGGCTCGATTTCCAAAGGAGAGTGAGAAAAATCGAGCGGATATCGTCTCGAGCATCTAACTAATTCACCGAGCAACAGTCCAGGCGAGTTATATCGGCGAGCACTGGTAAATTGCTAATTGGACGATCGATGTTCGCCGGTGAATTGCCAATCCCTTATTGGTCGTTGTTCCGTTCCTTTCTCCGTGTCTCTCGCGGTCGCGGTTCTCTCGCTCGAAAGTCCTCGTTCCTCGCTGATCCTCGATCACGAACGATCCGCCGACCCTGAACTAGAGCGTTCAACGAGTCAAACCGCGATCACCGAGGTTTCAACGAATGTTTTATGGAATAAGCCAGCGAATAAATTAATCGAGATTTCTCTTTCTACGCGCGTTTAATGTCACGCCGAGGTTGCCGAGGAGTTGTAGAGTTTTCACACGTTCGCGAAGAATTTCAAGCAGAAATATATAGTTGTTTCTAGATACAGAGATGCAAAATTACGCGTAATGCATAAAATATTCGTTATTAACTACGGTTGTGTTATAATTGTCTCTTTGCCCCCGGAAACGTATTTTTCGTATCTATCATCTACCAGCAATAGCGAGTGAAAAAAAAAAAAAAAAAAAAAAATCGCTTCAAATAGAATGATACGGAAATAATCAGTTGAAATGGCGTTTAAGCAGGAAATTTTCGAAATTTGATTATATTTCTTTAATACGTATGTGACTTTTTTGTGAAGCAATCACCAAGTACATGTAATGTTACAAAATATTTCCTTCACTTTCATTTTAGAAACTTTCAGGTAAGAAGCAGTAGCAATAATAATTCGATGAATGTATTCGAATGTACTCACGATTGCCTGTTCAAGAATATCTTCTTTTGAAAATTTATTATTATTCCTCTTACGTCGTTACATTATATTAACATACGTTTATTATAATTGTCAGCAATTGTAATAAAAGAATTTTTATAATTTCGTAATTTAGTTAGCTATAATTTAAAGTGTGGTATCTCCTCACAGGAGACAGTCGAGTGCAAAGGATATTATATTATATTATATCGTATCATTGATATTTTATTTTATTCGTTAAGGTAATTATTCGTATGTTTAGGTCCGCGGCACGAAAATACGAAATTGCACAAAAATACGGATCGTTGATTTTTCAAAGACCCTTTATCCAGAAATCCTGAAAGTGACACACTTGAGAAATTTCAAAATTAATTCACACGGAATTCACACGGAAGAAGGAGATTTTCAATTTTAACACGATGTTCAACGATAAGAGACGAGTTTTCACACATACAAAGTATTGATACCTATCTAGTTTCACGCTTTGACATTTATTGTCGCATATTCGCACGTGTATAGAGTCGTTTTACAATCTCCACTTGTACTTTATTCCTCTGTCGTCACACTCACCGGTTCGTTTCTTTCTTTCTTTCTTTCTTTTTTTCCTTCCTTCCTCGCTTGAAAGATTCACGCGGTCGCGGATTGATTTTTACGAGGGTTATTCCCGCGGTGTTAAACGTATTTACAAGCTCTACAGTTGCTATGGCTTCGTCGTAACTATTCACTATGCAAGCGTTTCAATGAACTATTTGACGCCGCGTGCATCACACCTCATTGCCCAATTAACCTCGACTGTAGCAAGATGTCGAACCACTTTTCTCTTTCCTTTTTGTTTTTTTCTCCCTCTTTCTCTCTCTCTCTCTCTCTCTCTCTCTCTCTCTCTTTCTCTTTCTCTTTCTCTCTCGCGCGCGCGTAACACCATTAATCTTAATGAATTAATCGAGCACTCAACGCTAGAACCACCGAGATGGTTAAAATGATTAATTCATAATTTTTGTCAGATAAGACGCATAATTTAAAATGTATTATAGATGTGAAACAGTGTATTTTCAACAGAGAGATTTAAATGATTCTTTATGAAATACAAATGCTTGTGTATTCCATTGTATCCTGCAGTTTTTCAATTTTCTTTCCTCCACTTTTTAATGTCACTGATGAAAATTCTGTGCTTTAGTCCTTACTTTAAGGACTTCTTAGTTCCAGTGTTTCGATCGTGATCAGACGTTGAAGAAACCTTATCACAACGTGATGATAACGCGTTATCTCTCTAAAATGAAATTAAGATGTAACAATCGTTGCTATTTGCGTCGATAATCGTTTTCTAGTATTCAGATCCCAGGAGGACAGGTGTACTTCGGGAATTCCAGTTTTAACGCCGTCCATGTTTTTCCGTTCGCGCGATTCCCGAAAGTTCTTTCCAACATTTGCAACATTTCTTTCTTTTTTTTTTTTTTTTTCCTCTCGTTAGAAATGTAAATTTTTCGAAAATCTCGTTCACTCTTCGCACGCGGCTGAAGAATGCGCGAGAAATAATCGAACGGATCAAAACCGAAATAAAAACTGATTGCACCGATTTCCAACCGTTGAACATATACACGCACCTTTCAAACATTCGCAAATATTCGCGATATTAGCCGTTACGAATATTTCGAAACGGGCGCGGCGCGAACGAACGAACGAATGAATGTAACGTGCTGCATAAAGCATTTCGAAAATTGAAAACACTCAATTTTCACACTCACGGATCGGATCGTAGACTGTAACGAACGACATTCAAAGTTTTTCAAGCATCTGTTCATCGGTGTTGCTCGTCCGAATCGCTCGCTATCCAGCCGGGATTATTCGTGATTATCGGGTCGGTGAGGGGCCAGCGGGTGTAGGGGGTGGGATCATTTCGCATTCGCGTAAACTGACGATCCGAAACGCACAATAAGAGCTGCCCGGCAACTATCATCGTGAAATTACAGAAAGTTAATGAATTGAATTACGTACTCGTTAACTGAGTGAAAATCAGGTTGGAAATTCTGGCCAGAATCCGATACTGATTTATCTAGCCGTTTGCAGTATTCGTACAGAATCCGTGGACAAGGAGAAGAGATTTAAAACGAGCTTATTTCGGCCTCGCGTGATTTTTCTCAAGTCTTATTTTACTGTTAAATTCTATTTCTTCGTTTTTAACGCCGTAATAATATATGATTTTATTTACATATATTATTATGAATGAATATAAATGTGAATAATGTGAATTCTGTAATAATACACGATAAATTCTATTCCTTAATTAATAGAAGATGGAGAGTATATGAAGAGAAGAAATTCCAATTTATTCAGTATCTTCTCATCGCCGTGCCGCGATCAGCAAGTTTATGAAATTTTGCGTACTTTCGATATTCATAATATTGCAATGCGTGATTGCAATTCTTAGTGAGAGATCATACAGCAAATCATACGCAATTGATCAACTCTGTTGCGTGATAAAAAGCAAGAAAACGTGACGATATCTTGCGAATATCATTTCTCGAATTTATCTATCTAGTGGAATTTGCTGTCACCACGGTTAACACTGGAGCTGTCAGAGTGGTTAAAGTAACCAATTTATAATTTTCTATGGAAATTTTATGTATATTTAATTAAATGTATATAATATTAACAGTATTGTATATATACAAATATTGACAGTATGTTTTCAGATTACTCGAGTGATTTTTAACAAATTATATTTCTTAATAGAAGCTTGTATATTTACTGTTTCTTACACCTAATTTCTTTCCTACAAATGTTACAATTTCTTAAGAATCGTAACGAAATTCGTAGAGTGTCAAAAGACAATGCGTTTCACAGCTGTTTATACGTGCATTTTCGAGAAAGGAGCGAATCGAGAGATCAAACTCGCGAGTTTCTCACTGCAAAATTGCAGCGACGTTGTACAATCGTTGGTACGCGCTCTCGCGTACCAGTAGCCAGAGGTGGTCGTCAATGACTCAGCCATCGTAAACGGAAACTCACGTGGAATTGGCGTGCACGGAGCGTGTTCGGCCGAATTGGGAGCACCGTGCCTACCCGGCCGAGTTCTTTTAACGCCTGTTCTAGATACGAGTCTTCCTTCATCGTTCGCCGAATTTTCTTTGCTCGCGAATTATCCTGTCCGAACGTGCCTCCCGATTAGACTCGTTCGGAAGCCTTGAATTTGAGAACCGTCGGGATTTTTTTTAACAATTTTTCACTCACCCCTCATGCCTCGTTTCATTTAAAATTTTTATAATTGCATCACCGTTTTGTATTAATGACTATTTCTTTATCCACGAAATAAATAAAAATCTGACAAACTGCTTTCGAAACGAGTCCAGCATCCAGCAAACTCGGATCACTTGCAGCCAAGTAAAAGTAAAAGAGAGTTCCGAGAGTGTCGCGAATTCCGAAGTCTAATTGCGAAATGAAATTTTGTGAAAGAAAGAAAAAAAAAGGGGAAGGAAGGAGAATGAAAATTCGTTGGATTTTTCACGTTGCACGATCAGCTTCGAGAAATGTCGCCGCGATGACTCGACGTCGTCGCGGAAAGTCCGACTTAACCTCGATCGCCGCTAGATTCGCGATCCCTCCTGACGTCTGTCGCTCCGCCGCTGTGTCCGCGCACGCGAGATAAGGAAACTGCGAGCGCCAGCGTGTTCGAGATTCTCTCGTTCGCCTGGTAAACCGCCAAGTAGACTCTGTGATGTTCTAGCTTGCGACTCGCGCTGGACGCAACGAGTCGTTGAATCTTGGTCTCGCTTTGACCGCGCCAACCGCTTCTTCCGGATCTCGTAACATAAAATGCCGACAGTAAGACGCTTCGCACGGCCGGCACACGCAATGGGAAAACGTATGAGAAATAACGAAGATGTTGCTTGCAAGTATCTGTCTCGCGTTGTCTCGCGGTGCCTCTTGCTGGATATATCAAACGATGCGAGATTTGTTAGCGGAGATGCATGCACACATTCCATATCCCACACTTCGCGTTTCGTTTTTTTTTCTTCTTTTTTTCTTTTTTCTTTTTTTTTTTGTTTCCGTAACCTACGTTACCTACGTCCCACGTTTCACATCTGGTGTTGCATGCTTGATTCCATCGTTTTGTATTTTCCATACGTCGTATGGAATATTCCGCAACTTATATTCAACATCCCACGTTCTACACATTCCATCGTTCATGATTTTTGTACGTTATTCCATAGTATTCCCATTTTCACATTCCCGTGTCCCATACATACCATGTGTTACGCATCGCGTTCCATATTCCATCTTTATCTTCGTATCTTATATTACTATTTTGCATCATTCTCATAATCCACGGCAGGTATGCAATATTCTACATTCTATGTTCTGGTATCCCACATTGCATTCCATATTCCATACTTTACACCTATCATTCCATATTTCACATCTCGTTAAACGTTCTCAGTATTCTACATCTTGTTCCCCACAGTTCAATCCAGAAACCCCATTCGTTCCGATTAAAACGTATGGGAAACTCACAAAAATTATACACAATTCCCACAAGACCTAAAAGTGAAATGTTGTAACACTCCATAAACGAAATTTGTTGTTTCCCACAAGTGTCCCGCGAAGCTAATTTCTTGGCTACTACGGAATTCACCATACCATAAAATGAACTTTGCTATACGGAAAGTTTCCAGGTTTCAGATTTATAGTCTGAAAGTTTCTATCTCACAAAATCAATTTCGTTGCTCGAAAATTCTCACAAGATGAATTTACGAGCATTTGTGAACTTCTTTATTCCACAAAATGGATTTCGTTGCCCAGAAATTCCCACAAAGCTAATTTGCGAGCACCTACGAATTTTGCTACTCCAGATGAATCCCCCAGAAGGTTAATTTGCGAGTTTTTGTGTGTTTTTCTTTCCCACAAAATGGACTTTGTTGCCCAAAAATTCCCGCAAAGCTAATTTGCGAGCCTCTACGGTTACTCCAAATGAATTTCATAGCTCATACATTTCTCACGAAATTAATTCTGCGGGCACCTGTGAATTTTTTCTATCCCACAAAGTGGATTATGTAACCCACAGTTCCCTCAATAAGGTTAATTTGCGAATTTTTGTGTGTTTTCTTTCCCACAAAATGGACTTCGTTGCCCAAAGGTAATTTGCGAGCACTTATGAATTTTGCTGCTACTCCAAATGAATTTCATAGCTCACAAACTTCTCACGATATTAATTCTGTAGGCACCTTTGGATTTTTCTATCCCATAAAGTGGATCATGTAACTCACAATTTTCCCAGAAGGTTAATTTGCGAATTATTCGGTGTTTTTTCCCCTCACAAAATAGACTTCGTTGCCCAGAAATTCCGCCAAAGCTAATTTACGAGCACTTACAAATTTGCTACTCCAAATGAATTTCATAGCTCACAAATTTCTCACGTAATTAATTCTGTGGGCACCTGCGAATTTTGCTGTCTCACAAAACGAATTTCTTTGCCTACAAAAGTATTACGATGAAAACTATATTGAAAATAAGAATGAATATGGGATAAGAAACACAGACTTGTTTGACATGGAATGAAAGTATGGATGGAGATCAGCGATTTGGAATATGGAATACAGGATATTAGACAAGTTGTGGGAAATGATTGCGAGATGGAAGGTGAGCGGAAATTAGGATGAAAGATATCACACCAGACCATACAACGAACATAGGGATTGCATTCAATAAGAAAAACGGGTGGTATTTATCCGGTAAATGGTTGAATTCTCGACTTGGCAGACGTTTCGGGAGCGTTCCTTGCTCGTAGCAGCTGCTATCGCCGATAAAGCTGAAATTTATCCCTACCGGGGCTTGTTTATGGATTAAACGAAGGTAATACGAATTTACGCTGCATCGCGCGCCACCCGAAATACACGTTTCGTCCGAAATAACAGGGATTTTTATAACACGCGCCGGGGTGGAGGGGCGGGGGGTGGTTGGCTTCACCGCGGCGCAACGTGTATCGCGCGTAATTGCAAACGTACGAACATTTACGTTTGTTTAATTTGTTTATTCGACGCCGATGACAACAGGTGTATGTGCACAAATCGCGGAAGTGATTTATATAAGTTGTACAAATAGTAACGCGGCGGAGGTTTGGGCAGAAAAGGGGGAGGGAACGAGAAACAGAGTGAGAAACACAGAGAGAGAAAGAGAGAGAGAGAGAGAGGGTGGTAGAACGCTCCGTAAATTTACATTTATTTAATATCGAATATATATCCCCGGCGAATCTGCATATTAATATTTACCTTGGAAATCTGCGCTCACTCGACTGTTTTATTGCGCGCGGGCATTAATAAACGGCATGGACGTTAAAGAATTTAGAGATCCAACCCCTCCCCCCTCCTCTCTCTCTCTCTCTCTCTCTCGCTCGCTCCTCGCTCCTTCCATTCTCTTCCGCTAATGGAGATATTGTAATTTGAAGTGGATCGATGAATTTCGCGCGGCCGCTACGCGTTTTCATTGTCACGTTCCCTGGGAAATATCGCTGCGGTAAATATTTTGCTTTTCATTCGTTTCGGCACCCCCCCCCCCTCCCCCACCCTCTTTGTCCCTCCCGCGTTATTCCCGTCTCTTCCTTCCGCACGGCCACCTCTCCTCTCCGCTCTGCCCGCTGTTTTTTGTTATTTCAAATTAAGCGTCATGCCGGGTATATTTTTCGTTCTTCTCTCCGCGCCGGACCAGCGTTAGATACCGCGCTCGATCGCGCGTTCCGACGAAAATTGTTGGGAAAAATCGCGGAAAAACACGGCTCTCCTCTCTCTCTCTCTCTCTCTCTCTCTCTCTCTCTCTCTCTCTTCTGCTTTCGCACGCCGCGACAACGATCCTTGTTGGACGCGGTCGCGCTCCGCCCACGTGTCGAGTCGTACAATTAAACTATGAAGAGAGAGAGAGAGAGAGAGAGAGAGAGAGAGAGAGAGAGGAAAGAAAAGAAAAACAATTTTTTAAGCGTCGTATGTTCAAAAGAGTGGAAGCTATGGCACTCGAGGGAGCACAAACGGAAGTCGGCACGCACGGAATTACGCGGAGAAATTCCCTCCGCTTCCGTCTCTCGTTTCACGTTCCTTTCCTGTTTCTCTTTCCGTCTTAAGGCCCTCACACGTTAAGGCGATGCATGTTGCACTGTATGTACATACGTAGCTCGGCATCGGCGACTCTGATACAGATTTCGTGGAAACCTAAAGGCTCCTACACACGTTCAAACACGCGGCGATGCGTGTGTCGTGCATCAGCTCCATGATCAGGAGCAACCAAGTCCCGCTACTTTCCAAAGGCTGCGACAGTCACTTGTATAAATAATATTGAAAATGAAAATGAAACGGCAGTCAGTTTTCAAAATTTAAACCCCGTGTGTCTTCGTTTTGTTCAACTTGGAGTTAAGCCTAGTTGGTCGATATGTCGCTACACTCTTTCGATCGTAATACGCCGATATTAATTTTAATTTCCTACGCGGTTTAATTTCCTTCCCGGTTCGTCGATTTGTTACGCATTTATTTTTTCCTGGTTTCGTGGGGAATTCCAGGTTGCCTGTCGAAGCTACATACATTGCAACAGGCATCATGAAATCTAGAAATCGGTGCATGTTTCAACGTGTGTTTAACTCTTGTCCCAAATTGCAACGTTTTCTCAGCTTTAAGTACAATTTAAGTATAACCCAGAGAAAACAAAGAAATTTACTACTTTTTAATAATTTCTATCCAGTGATATACACGACGAGTTCAAAAGAAGCAGAAAGCGACGAATTATTTGTATACGGCTCGGCCACTCGTCCGCGAACCAGTTGCCAGCGCCAAGGGGTTAAAGGTCAGTCAGATGTAAATCTGATACAGATTTCGTGAAGCCTAGATGTCGAAGCACGTTTCAACGCGTTTACGATTGTGGACTGCTTCCCTCGAGCCGAGATCTGTTCGTGTTTGTCGAAGAGCGAACCGATTCGGTTAGAAATTCCGACCGCGACGAAAGTGACACGGATCCCGCGTTTCTCTTTGCCCTCCGTCGACGCCTCTTTCGTCCACTTTTGGCTGTGTCTGTCTTCTCCTCTCCGAGAGGAGGAACAGCGGTCACAGCTCGGTTCGACGAGTTCGCGTTACGCTTCTCGACGATTACGAGCAGCGACGAGGAAAGGCCGAAGAAGAAGCGATCAGGAGGAGGACGAGTCGTGAATGGTGGCTTTCAGCCGGTAATCGATTCGCGGTCGGAGGGACGGGGAAGAAAAAAAAAAAGAAAAAAATGAAAAGTGAAAAGAAAAGAAAAGGGGAGAGGGCGATTAGAGCGCCGGGTCCCATTTTCTTTCGACTCGTCTATCGCCCTTCCTCTTCAGCTTGAAATAATAACTCTCGCGTCTCACGGAAGGAACGTTAATTCCCTCTCCTTTTTATTTCGTTCGATCGTCGTTCTCTTGGTATTCCAGAGATCAACGATTACTTGATTCTTGAATCAACACGCTTTATCGATCATCATCGACGCTCGGACGCGTATTCTCGCGTAGAATTCCTTGGGATTCTTTCGCAAATTATTTCAAGTATTACAGCGCAACAGTGAAAAAGGGATCGATCAACGCTTTCACAAAGTAAATGAAAATATTTGTCCTTTGAATAAATAAATCTAAATAGTAATATTAAATATAATTATTATATTTATAATATATTTAATAATTAAATATAATATTGAATATAATTCAATAAATAGATGTAAATAATAAATTAGATCTGCAAGCACCAAACCTTACCAACAGGAAAGAAGGAATAATTATCTCACGCCTAAGAACCGGTCATACCAAACTGACACATGAACACAAAATCAAAAAAACTACGCCATCCATCTGCACTCATTGCAATAACCATCCACTAACAATAACCTGCATACTGCACGAATGCCACACCACAGAAATCTAAAGACAGAAATACGGAATCAACGCAAACATAAACCTAACTTCTCAAAATGACATACAAAGAGTATTAAAATATCTCAAAACACATAAACTACTACACACATATCTAATGACCTCGCCGTCGATGCGACATTAAAGAAAAATAGAACAAGAAGAAGAAGAATAAATAAAATCTATAAACATTAGGACAACCGTATGAAAATATATTTCACGCGTAAATTATAATTCTATTTAAATGGAAATTAACGTTTCTGACAAGAATATCCACGTCGTTCAGGCGTCGTTCTAAGAAACGAAAATCTGAAATCAGCCGCATCGTTAGCGTCGAGATAACGAAATTGCCCCCAAAAAACAAAGAATAATAATATTTTCCAATGAATAATAATATATGTAGCTGAAGCAAAATTCCCATCGGACGTTGGCAGAAATCAAGTTCGAATTCAACAACGAGTTTAACGACCAAGCACCGAGGAACCTTACGTTAAACGATCGATTCGCGAGAGCGCAGTCTCTCTGAAGTAAACGACTCGATCGCGAGACATTCCATTGGGCGAAAAAATCTCGCGGACCGGGAGTAAGATCAGCGGGAGTCCGCTCGGTAGCCGAAAATCCCTCTTCATTCGGCGCACGTACACGAGCAGACTCTCCTCCTTTTTCCGCGTTCGAGTCGTCCGGTGGATACGGACGACTCCGTTCCTGGAAGTTCAGGAACTTATCGATTCCACGGTGGCTACGTGGGCGACTCCAATTCCGCCGCGTTCCGTGTACCCTGGCCGTTCTGTGCCAGCTACTCGATCCGTACCGATCGAGAGAGTCTATACCTAGACCTCCTGTGCCTACGTCCACCCTCTCCTCCGCGTGCAAACCACCCAATGACGCGCACACGCTTGCGAGACATTGTGCAACCGCGTAATTATTCAGAAGCATCGCGCGCGATCGACGCCGTTCGCCGTGATTTCGACTGGCCTGTCTCTCCTGCTTCCTCTCTCTCTCTCTCTCGTGCAACTGCGGCGATCGATCGCGCGGCGAAACGACGCCGGAAAATCGAGGCTCGAGGCTCGAGGCTCGAGCAGCCCCGCGAACGAGCCAACGAAGAGTCATCCTCTTGGTCTCGATTTTAAACGGGTATGACGTCAGTGATAGGTTGCCTGCGTGGGTTGACTTCTCTCTTTCTTTCTCTCTCTCTCTCTGTCTTTTCCTGTGTTTTTCTCTTTTTCTCCTTCTTTGCGCGCGACACTGTCTTCCCGGTGTTTTCGACGTTCCCGTGGAACGCGTTCGACGGTGGAACGAAGCCTCCGGGCAGCTGTCGCCTTGCGATCCTTTCCTTCGGTCTCGACATTTTTCATACAGCCCCTGTCGACTTTCTACCGACTTGGAAGCCAGTCCAAGGGAGAAGGAGAAAGAAAGAGGGACGATACGTTGCGTCGTGGCACAACGAATCTCAGTCGAGTCTCTCTATAGGTCGAATTCTCTCTGTAGGTCGTTTTTCCGCTTCCATCATTCCGAGCTTTTGCGATCCAGGCGTAAAAAATATGATTAATCCCTTCAGCATTATGTCGAGTATGAAAAGATGGAATTTTTTTGGTTTAACGCCAGAATTACCGACGACCAGAGCATAAAATTTCCATCAGAGACGTTAGAATAAATGAAACGGAAAATCTTTATGGTACAACAGGGTGCACAAGCTTTTATTTATGTATTTTATGAAGGGTTCTCCAAAGATATACTGTTTTATATGTATAAAATATTTAACAAAAATATTCAAATGGTCATTTTGACCATTTTGATAGTTCTAGCGTTAACGTAGCATTCGTCGTGTAGGAAAGAAAATTCGCTTTTGCTATTTATTGTAAAATTTAGGTAAAAGAATTATACATATTTGTAATTTCACAGTTTAAAATATTTCAAGGCAACAAGACGAGGCAAAAGATAAATCCGTAACTAACTTTTTCATTCCTTTCTTCCTTTCAACAGTTGGAAGAAATAATTTTGAAAAAGATGCAATGAAAAATATCTAACAATTTTTATATTTTGATGTTTTTTTAAAAAAAGAAAAAAAAAAGGTAGGAAGAAACCTATATATTTCTCTGTCTTAAAAGATGTTTCACCATCTTCGAGCTGTAATAATGCAGCACACCGATAACGGCGCTACGATTTTTATTTTCGATTTGAATGGTAAAAATCAAGAGATCAGAAGATCCGAATATATCAGGACAATTATTGATATATTGAAATTTTTTTTTAACGACTGTCCAGAGTTGTCCACGTTGCCGTGGAACCTTCTGTTGAATTCGTCAATCTCGTAGATGTTTCGACATTAGCTTCGATAGCGAATTGTTCCAAGTAACAGTTAACGTCTCACTGTCCCAACGAACGTCGGAGCAATGAAATTCATACCGCAGATACTTGCAACGTGTTCTCACGATGATTCTTCAGACGTTGCACTCGCTAGCCTAACGGAGCGGTTCAACAGTCAAGCTTCACATCCGCCGCGCGTCTTACGACCATTCGCCGATAATCACCTCGCGAGAGAGTTCTCGTTCCTCGCGAGAGAGCTTCTCCATTTCAGAAATCCCCCCTCCCCCCACCCCTCCTCTCCCTCCTATCGTTCTCACGCACGAAGAAACGTTGTTAGGGAAACGTAATCGCGAGAGTATCGACGCACGGCGACGATTATCGAGCCATCGAGACGACGCGTGTTGGCGTGTTTCACCAGGTTGGTTATACTCCGAACGACGAGCCAAGCCACTTCCGCGTTCGTTCTACGTACGAAGGAGCAACCTTCCAAGACGAAAGAAGAGGAGGAAGAAGCAGGGAAAATAAGAGAGAAGATAGCGGCTGGAGAAATGCTCGGGCGTGTAATGAAACCGTGCCACCGTTTCTCGGTGCTGCCGGCAAAAACTGGTCGCCATCCGCGAGACGTAGCCTCTTGCACTCTGCGCTGCTTGATGAGGATTCGATGATGCACGCACGCCGTGTCGAGAATGCAAATTGCCTCTTAAGATCGATAATCGCGCCGGTTGCCGAGCCAAGAGGCGGCCGCGGCTGCCTTCGAACCAGGCCTCGATAAGATCGATAGCACCGTTCTCTCTCTCTCTCTCTCTCTCTCTCTCTCTCTCTCTCTCTCTCTCTCTCTGCTCGTCTATACCGATCATCTTAGCCGAGAACGTGTTCTTACATTGTTGCAATATCACGTCGAATTTATTAAGGTCTCTCACGGGCAAGATTTACACGTCTAATGATACGGTGTACGGGCACTTAGTAATTATAGGGCCCGGTTGCCCCTGCTTTGCCCCGGTCCGTCGGTGCCGTTGTTGCGCAGGATATTGCACGGTTGACCCTTCGACAACGGTGATGGCGATTCCAGTAACGAGATACCAGAACGATATTTCCGCTCCCGCGAAAAATTGGAAAATTGACTGGATTTGACTTCTTTCGCGACTGATGATGATGCAGGGACGATTAAATTTCTATGGTACTACAGGGTACAACCCTTTGGGTACATTTGATAATTGACACTTGTTTCGCCTAAGTGCAAGATGACGAGTCCAACTCAGTCATTCAAAATTGTTGGTAATTTCTTTCGCTTGAATTTCTTTGCTCTCATTTCGAATTCGTACATAATATCTACTGCTTCTCGCATGCCACTCCATGCACCAACAAATTAAATATCTGTGTCACGTGCAAAAAATTTTTTCAAATAAATCGTGACAGATCATCCATCGATTGGGAAATGATTTGCTTCTTGAAAATTAAATCAGCCAGTCTTTGACCGTTAAGAAAGTGGAGTCGATCGCTTTGGCTTTTGAGAAAGCTCGTACGTAGCACAGGTGGACTGACGTTGTAGTTTCATCCTTTTCTCATGCGTCGTAGAAAAGACCGAGGGTGAAGTTACCGGAGAACGTGAAACGTCGTGGCACGCGGTGGTACGCTACTTGTGGCGTGTAAAACGTCGACTGGTTGCCCCTGCTGTTTGCTACGTAAATCCTAATGCTCGCCGGTGAAATCACGTCGTTCGACGCTGTCAATTATATCGCAGAAATTTTTAGCGTAAATTTTTTCATGTAACGGCTGATCCCAGGTGACGAACGCACAATTTCTGCCGCATTTCTCGGCAACGTTCGTTTAATCTCGAGTAACGAAATCCTCATTTATTCATTTGACGGATTCTTGTCCGATGAACGTTCGATATTAGCGTGAAAATTTTAATAACAGATATAACAGGCATGTGAGAAAGTAAGAATATGACTTTTTGATACATACATATATCTATTAGATGTATATCAATGGGTTATCCTCCTTGAACCTTCAACGTGTTAGTGAGCTAATTATTCCAAACATTAGAAAATTATTTGTACTCTAATACGAGTCAAGCACCAGCCATGTATAACAAGCATTCAAACGTTTTCCATTGCTCACGAACGATTTTGATAATGTAATGAAATTTTATCTTTTTCCATTTATTTGTCATTTGACAATTAATTAATTCATTTATTTATTCGATTAACCCTATTGTAATGCATCGATACAACAAATACTGAAACATATTAATTATTTAAAAAGGTTTGTACAATGAAATCGTATCTCTTCTTCTACTTCATCGTCATTTGACGATCAATAGGATTATTAATACATTGAAACATTGTAAGAATGTATCTATGTAAGAAGCACTTTAATATTTTAATCACTCAGAAAGATTTCTACTATGACGTACCTATCCTTTTCTATTTATTCGTTGTTCGATGCGCGACGTTTGGAATCGTTGAACGTCGATTTCACATCAGAAAATGATTGAGCAGCAGCCGTTAATTATCGTACGTAAAGACAGCGATATTACTTTCACCGGGTCTCGTCGAGCCATGGAAAATTCTCGTCGACCACTTTGAGACCACGTTAAATCGTCTCAGCCTGTTTGC